GAGAAGAAGGGAGAAGAAGGGAGAAGAAGGGAGAAGAAGGGAGAAGAGGGAGAAGAAAGGAGAAGAAGGGAGAAGAAGGGAGAAGAAGGGAGAAGACGCAAGAAGAATCAAGAAGAAGAGAGAAGAAGGGAGAAGAAGAGAGAAGAGAGAGAGAGAGGCTGACAGACGGGAGGGAAGAGGGGGTGAAGGAGAAGGAGAGAAGAGCTGCTGGAGGTACGGTGCGCGTATGTACTTCATCATCCACTACTTTCTGGCTGACAACACCGTGGAGATCAACATGGCCCAATGCCGGAATTCAGGCCGTGATGCATATCCAGCTTGCATCTCAGACCGTTCTTCCTAGGAGCAAGATACAAACACACACACAAGCACAAACACAAACACGATGACGCATGCACACACACACAACACACACTTGGGAAAACACATAGTGATTGATTTGGCAGTAACGCACTTGAAAGTATCAAGTGGAGAGGCGTCTAAAAAAAAGGATATACAAATCCCCCAAGATCGACAGAAGTCTTAAATGCAAGTCCGCTGAGGTCATCAGCACTTTCTGCAAACTGAAGCGCGGGACAGAGTCTTGTTCTAAGTGCAAACGGGCCCTCAAGGTAGTATCAAGTCATCACGCAGGTACGCCAGACTGATCAGGTCTGGTTTCACCACCGATTGCAAGCGTCTTCGTTGGCAGGAGTCTTGCCAGTGTCCTCCTGCCCCCTGCTGGAACAGCAGGCAAACCTGACCAAACGGCAACCTTCGTACACGCACAACTAGACTAAGGTATGTGGTGGCGATGAAAGGGAACCAAGTGCACAGGGACAACCAATGAGCAAAACCTCCTTGTCAAAGCCTGTGCCACCTATAGCCCAGTTCAAAGATACAGGTTCACGTGCATGCTAAGGGCCGGACCGATGTGCGCGCAAAAGAAGAAAAGAGTGACATGACCGGACATGAAGGAAGAAAGACATGAAAGGAAAGAGAAGGGGAAAAGAAGGTGCGTGTGGAGGGGCGGGAAAGGTCAGGGAAACAGCGGGCCAAAAGCAAAAGAAGCCAAGCCTCTTGGAGCAACCTGGGGAAACCTCCCCTTGTCTGGTGTGGGTGAAGCGCGGTATGTGCACATAAGGCTCAAACGACCCCAGTGGATCTTGAATGTTCTACGCCCGCTACGGGCGGGCGTCAAGCCTGCTCAAGCTCCAACCATATCTGCAAGTCTTAACCCACGGTTGGCGCAAGCCTACTCTGTCCGCTGCGGACTACGCCGTCTCCGGCTGAAAAGGGGCAAGCCTTTGGCCTTGTGCTCACTGTGGGCTGGGACAAGCAAGGCCAGGCACTCTGGAAAACGCGAAGTGATTGATTGGGGCTTGCCACACGCCTACCTAGGCATGAAACCTAAGAGTCCGGGGGTAAGGCACCTGAAAGTATCAAGCGGAGAAGCGTCTAACAAAAAAAACATACAATGTAGGACAGACAGTTAGAATATGGAATCCAAATATTTCCGTTCTAAATGGATACCCCAAACCTTTCAAAATTGATGACCCTGGGGATGACCCTCGCAGATAGAATATGGGCCTTTCAGAAAGCAGGGGAACATATTCTAACTGCCAGTCCAAAACCAGGATACCTTGCAGACACAAAGCTAGGCCTCCAAACCTAATAGCGATGGCCCCTAATAGCGATGGCGAGCGATGGCCTCCAGCTTTAGACCGATGGCCCAGCTTAAGACCGATGGCAGTAATAGCAATGGCCTCCAACTTAAGAGCGATGGCCCCCAACCTAACAACAATGGCAACGGCCTCCACCCTAAGAGCGATGGCCTCCAACCTAATAGCAATACAATGGCCTCCAGCCTAAGAGCAATGGCCTCCAGCCTAAGAGCAATGGTCTCCAACCTAAGAGCGATGGCCTCCAACATATTCTAACTGCCAGTCCAAAACCAGGATACCTTGCAGAGACAAAGCTAGGCC